GTGCTCCGTCCATGGCCTATGTGCTGAAGTGGAACCTGTTCGTCAAATGGTGTTCCTCCCACCAGGAGGATACCCGGAGATGTTCGCTCAGAGCCGTGCTTTCCTTCTTGCAGCAAGGGTTGGAGTGTAGGCTGTCCCCCTCCACTCTTAAGGTTTATATTGCTGCTATTTCTGCCCATCACGACCCCATAGAGGGGAGGTCGGTGGGAAAGCACGATCTGGTAGTCAGGTTTCTTAGGGGGGCCAGGAGGTTAAATCCTCCTAGGCCTCCCTCCCTACCCTCTTGGGATTTGGCATTGGTGCTAAGAGCCCTACAAGCTGCCCCCTTCGAGCCTTTGCAGTCAGTCGAGTTGAAGTTTCTTTTTATAAAAACCCTGCTCCTGACTGCATTGGACTCGATTAAGAGGGTGGGGGACCTGCAGGGATTTTCGGTCGACGAATCGTGCCTTCAGTTTGGGCCGGCTGATTCCAGTGCAACACTGCTGCGTGCTCACTCCACTAGGGGTGTTGCATCATCCTGGGCGCTGGCTTGTGGTGCCTCACTAGCAGACATTTGTAGAGCTGCGAGCTGGGTGACTTCTAACACATTCGCTAGGTTCTATAGCCTGCGTGTCAAACCAGTTTCTTCCTGTGTTCTCACCTCAAACGGGTAGTGGCACTGAGAGGCCCAGTTCAGAGTCGGCTTGGCGCGTCTTTGGTGCCTAGTTCTCCAGAGAGTCCCCTGACTGGGCAGACCCTGTCGAGTCCTCCAGCACTCCGGCGGCCAGACGTGGCGGAGCGTCCGGCGCCAGGCCTTTCATCCAATGAATTCCTGAAATCTGGTGTGAGGCTAGTGCCCATATGAGTGGCCCTGTTGGGATCCCATATGAGTCTTTCCACGGTACAGTTACTCGTTCTGCTGTCTCTAAATGATGCAGCCATGAGCCATCTCAGAGACTTCCATGTGCAGTAGGGCCCCTCAGGGTTACTCCACGTGAGTAAATGTCACTTAACTCCGTGACTCCGCAGTGTGTCCTCTTCCAAATGGAAGGGCACGCTTTCCTAGTGTTATCCAAGTCCTACTGTTGAGTTGCGAGGAACAGCTGTAGTCGACCTTCTCTGTGTAGAGCCCAGTCCTATCGTCTGCCTTATAGGAAGGATCAGGAGGCCTACACAGGGCACTGGAGGGGGCAGCACCTGTGGCGTGTTAGTAGAGATCTTAATTTGTAGGTCATCACCGACATGACGTTGAGAGTAACCGACTGAAAGGGAATGTCTCGGTTACGTATGATGTTAGTTGTAACACTAATGAAACGTTACAACCCACCCCAAGCAAATTTTTTGTTTAATTCATGTTTTCTTTGAATTTCAGTATGCCTAGAGGAAGAGAAAGACAAACCAAGGGGTGTCTCTCAGCATTTTAAAGGGAACATCAGATGATATAAAAGAGCATGGAAAGTCTGTAAGATCTCTGGCAAAATTGTATGGCATTTTCCATGTAACCTACAGACTCTATAAAAAGAGAAAGAGAAGAGAAGGGGTCAAAGGAACTTCGGAGGCTACCACAGTGGAAAGAAGGTCTTCAGTGATGAACAAGCAAACAAAACACTTTTTCCATAATAATTAACATACTGAGTGATGTTGTTTTCATTGATATGCAACCTGTACATATACTGTATGCTAGCGTCTCAAAAAAATGATTTTAGGGTTTCATGACCCTTTAATAAAAGACACTTGTAAATAGTTTGAATCACATTTTGAATGCACTGACTTAAAATAACTCCAAGATACAGACAGAAAGGTCCAAAATATTACAACCATCCACAACCATCTCCCCTATAAATGTCATATGAAACAAGGAAATTTCATGCTATATAATATAAATGTCACGTTTCTGTTCTGTGCTTTTACATTTTGGCTTTCTCTGTATTTCTGTTCCCCTACATTAGTTCCCTGGTTAATCTGTTTCCTTAGTAATTCATTAGTCTCATTGGTTGTTAATTAGCCCCACACCTGTTCTGTTTCTCCCTGATTGCATTCTCCCTTGTATTTAAGTCCTCTGTTTCTGTAAGTTCATGGTCTGCTATTATTTCGATTTACGTTGCTGAGCACTTGATACTGTTTGTTTATGGACTTTTGGATATTCTCCTGGATTTATTATTAAAAACTCCTTTTGGACTTTACTCCTTCGTCTTGCACTTGATTACTCAGCCAACGCCTAACAATAATATGACAATGATATATAATATGATTATAAAAGTAAATGTTAATGTGCACTGTAGCAAAATTAATAATCTAAGAACGTTTAGACCATGTGTTTACTGTAAAATACAATGTTTGTGCATATCTGTTGTTATAAAAGTGTCAGTACATATAAAGTGTGTGTATGACAGTACAAAATCTTTTTTTTTTTTTTTTTTTTTGTGGGCAATATTTAGCCTATTCTTGATTGACAATAGTAATAATATAGCGTAGTTGCTCCTGATATCATCATTCTCACAGTTGTTTGCTTCTTATGCAGTGACATGATACCTGCCTGAACAGGAACCTAAACCACAAATGAGTCCTGCGAACTCAAACTCTCCCTTTAGTCTATGTTATTCTCTGAGAGTACTTTACCAACTCTGCTGTTTACATATTATAGGATTCAGTTCTGCCACAAGGCAAACTAATGAACTAGATGAGGAGCAATTGTGTGAAATCAGTGTGTCTGCAGCTGTAGTTATACACATCTCTGAATGTCTGTATATCTGCAGTACACTTCAGCAGATGATTTTGCTAAACTATGCTAAAAGACAAAGCCATTAGCTAACACGATATTAAAAAGTAATATAGTTTGAGTTAATACACATTAAAAAATTCTTGAGGAAATTAAATTTTGGCGTTTTTTACAACCAGATACTGCACAATGTTGTGGCATCTTGAGACTCCTTGATTTTTATTGTGAGTGATGACACACTGACTGTTCCAAGGTCGACGTGTCTGGTGCGGTCAAAGGTGTCATCTGCCTACTGTATATATCTATGGCAATATATGCTAGTGACATATTAAATCATGCTAACCATGTGTTAAAACATGCTAGTGACATGCTAAAACATCATAGTAACATTCTAAATCATGATAGCAACATTTTAAAACATGCTATAGCAACATGCCAAACATACTTGTAACATGCTAAACATGTTGGAAACATGCTAGAAACATGTTAATTCATGCTAGCAATGTGTTAAAGCATGTTAGAAACCTGTTAATTCATGTTAACAATATGGTAAACATGCTAGCGACATGTTAGCAAAGATGTAAAACACATTAGAAGCATGTTTATTCAAGCTAGCAATGTGTTAAACATGTTAGAAACATGCAAAGTCATGCTAGCACAATGTTAAAACATATGTCTGTCTGCTTTCTGATATACTGTATGGTCTTCAAAATCTTCAAACTACATAAAACTTAAATCAGAAAGCCTTCGAACTTCAAGCTTCTTCAAACTTGCTGGTTAGGCTTTCTCAAGACAACATCAAAGTTTGACTTGAAAAACTATTTATTTATTTAGCAGAGTTATTGACAATAAAATAAGCATAATGGAGAAGCTTTTTTGTCAAATTTGAGATAGGCTATGTGTTGTTGCATTTTCCATTGTAGAGACATATTACGTACAAACTAATAATATTATTAAAACATAAAATTATTAAAATTATTAAAACATTTACCTAAAATCTCAGGGGGTACTTCAAGTAACCATGACTACAAATGAAGAAACACTTAGAAACCATGAAAACAGAAAGGAAACACAGGAAATAATGTGATACAAATTATGAGTCCATGAAAACAAAACTGAAACCTAGACAAAACCTGACATTACCCCCCTCCTCCAGAAGGCAGCTCCTGAAGCCTAAATGGGAGCAGTATATGTGGAAGGACGGCGAGGGTCTTAGGAATATCAGGACCAGTGGCAGAAGAGACCATGGAGGAGCTGGCAGTGGAAGAAAAGCACGGAGAAGCCAGCAGCGAATGAGAACCCAGAGTGACCCAGAAGACAGCTAGGAGTTTGGTGACCCAGATACCAGAAACTGATGGAGGAAGGAGTTAGGGTGGAACCATGAACTAGACTGACTGAAGTGATGATGTGATCGGTGGAGACCCAGGCAGAGTACGATGGACAGAGAGACCAAGGTGGAGTCGCAGTAAAAGAGGGTATATATTGCGATGTTCAGTCCTGTCACGGCTTCAGCTTCATTTGAATACTGTATGAATACCTCTGCCATTTCCATTACAAGTTTTGATGTTATCGTTGTGTGTGTCTCGTGTGATGCAAAAGACAATTTGAAATAAAATATATATACAATTTTTAATTTTCCAGGTTGATACCCCTTTATTCCCCAAACATTGCCTATTTTTCCTTTATAAGTACTGTATAAGCACACTATTATTACAAAAAGGTACATTGTAAATTCAGTTTACTTAGGCTGTAAATTGCATGCTGTAATCTAAAGCATTACGAATTACTTTTAAAATGATCATCAAATATTAATTGATTTTTATTTATTAATTTATCTATGTATTCTCCAAATGGCTTGTCTATCCATACATCTCAAGGCACTGGTGAGGGAAACACACTCATTATTATTATTATTATTATTATTATTATTGGGTTCCTGAAACACCAGTGTCATTAAATTATTAAAGGGGTCATATGATGCGATTTCAATTTTTCCTTTCTCTTTGGAGTGTTACAAGCTCTTGGTGCATAAAGAAGATCTGTAAAGTTGCAAAGACTAAAGTCTCAAATCCAAAGAGATATTCTTTATAAAAGTTAAGAGTCAGCCACACCTACCTAAAAGGCTCGTTCTAACACGCCCCCACATACCTACGTCACTATCTGGGAAGATTTGCATAACGCCGCCCAAATGTTCACGCAAAGAAAGAAGGCGTAACTTTTATTCTCGCTGTAGTATTGTTGCCGCCACCGCCATGTCGTGAAGGCACTGTGTGCTTCGCTGTGAAAGAGGACGATATCGCTTCGTCATGACTGGAGCTGATCCATGCTGGTCACTGAGGAAATATTTAAACTTCGCGCTGTCGCTCGCCGGATCGGCTTTCACCGTGGACGAAGCGGAGTCCAGCCCGGGGTCGTCACATGTGGTTGCCGCAGGCATCACAATATGGTAAGGGACGTAACATTTCCGTCACACGCTTGAGGAATTCGGCCAATCACAACGCACTGGATAGCTGGCCAATCAGAGCACACCTCGCTTTTTCAGACCGATGAGCTTTGTAAAAATCGACACGTTTCAGAAAGGCGGGGCATAGAGGAGAAACAATAATGTACAGTATGTGGAAAATTATGTGTTTTTTTAACCTTAAACCGCATAAACACATTTCATTACACCAAATACACAAAATAATGTTCTTTTTAGCAGCATCATATGACCCCTTTAAAACATTTAATTAAAATCTCAGGGGATACTTCAAGTAAATATTGTACATCTAAGGAGTTTGACTGACAAAAGTTTGGGAACCCCTGTCCTATATTTATCTCAGGGGAGGGAAAAGGGAATGTGGTTACAGACCAGGGGACAGCAGCCATGAGTGAAAGTATGTGTCTGTGTGTGTAAGGCCAGAAGAGAATTGAAAAGAGAACATTTGGGCTAGCGTGAAACAGAACAGGAAAGAGAACATTTGGGCTAGCGTGAAAACCACTCTTGGACGCTATTCATTTGTTCGGGGAGTGTGAAAATTGGGGGATGGCAAGCTATTTCTGTCCACAGCTGTCCCTTTTTCCACTACACCTTTTCTTGTAGTGACCCTTAAACTGTTCAGTTATTTTAAATAAACTACTTATACTATGTTCACTTATAAAATTATTACTTTCAGATCAATATATTATTACTCAAGGGTCACTCTTCATATGGCAAAATCTTTCAATTTCAAAGTACATAAAAATATTACTTATGAGACAAGAGAATTAACACCAAGTGTACAAGTTTGATTCTCAGGAAACATACTTTCTAATAAAATGTATAGCTTTAATGCAGGGAGAGGCATTCGGTGATGTTCTAAAATATATTTTGGACAATATGTAAGCTGCATTCTACTTGATGAAAAATACTGTAAAAATGTAATATCATGAAATATTATTACAATTTAAAATAGCTGTTTTGTGTTTTAATAAATTTTAAAATGTAATTTATAACTGTGATGGAAAGCTGAATTTTCAGCAACCATTATTCCACTCACATGATCATTCAGAAATCATTCTAAAATGCTGATTTGGTGCTTAAGAAACATTTCTTATTTTTATCAATGTTGAAAAAAACAAAAAAAAAAAACAAGTTGTATTGCTTAATAGTTTTGTGGAAATTGTGATTTTGATTAGAAAGTTCAAAAGAACAGCATTTATTTCAGATTGAAATATTTTGTCTTAAATGTCTTACTGTCACTTTTGATCAAATGCATTTTTGATAAATAAAAGTATTGATTTCTTTAAAAAATACTGACGCTAACTTTTGAATGGCCATATTTTTCTATATTTTAAAATACATTAATGACATAAAATATAAACATTTGCTATGGGCAACTAGACTTAATGGAATTCTCATTGATGTTTCATTAGGTAGCCTAATTAATAGTGCTGTCAAAACATGTTACTTTTTGCGATTAATGTAAAATATATTAAAAAAAAAAGCAATTAACAGTTTCGTTTATTTATTCATTCATTCATTCATTCATGCATTCATTGATAAGAACAAGAAAGGAGTTTTTAGGTGGAAGGTTTCACTATAAAACGCTGCCCGATGGATTGTTGGATAAAACAAAATCGGTGCATTTTGCAAAGACGAATTTAATTAAGCAATTCATCTTTGACACAGGCCTATCACTTAAAAGCAAAACACTCTACAGAAACTACCTCTACTGGGCATCGCTATTGTAATTTACAGGATTAGCTATGTTATTCATGGGCAAATAATGAGATCTGTTAGTGATAATGTCACGAATAGCAAAAAACCTGCCACTCAATTACCATAGTATATCCGATAGACTGAAAGGAATCTGAAAGAATCTCATAATAACAAACGAAGTGTAGACACTATGTAAATAAGAAATTTATGCAGTGCAGTGTAGACAGCTTCATTGATTATAACGGAACTTTGTGAGATCGCAATGAACTGTGACGGATGGGATTTTTAAGGGAATAATTAGCCCGCTTTCTGGAGGAGTTTTCCCCCAAACATTTAATTTCATTGCTGTCTAGTCTGAATACTTAAAATATAAAAACAATCTGGAAACAGGTTCAAGAAAAGTGTTTATGGCATAATAAATAGCTATAAGCACTCACCCGAAATACAAATAAAAAAGACCAATAAGACCAAACTCCCTGCAGAGAGGTAGCATCCGTTCCCACAACCCTGTATTTGAATACATACCTTCAGTGTTGGGACCATGATAAATGTCCAGCTATGGATGCATATATGGTGTGAAGTGGGAGGGCTGCAGAACACTGTTTTGGACTATACCAGGAGCCTATAAGCTCCCAAAGTATTCCCCAGTACTTGAAAAGTATGTTTAGTCATCAAACTTCCCTTACATTCAGACATGTATCCATAAAATACATACTATACAATACAGCACCTTTGTCACTTTCCAATATGTCAATATGTTGTTATTTAGCTGCTGTATAGAGCAAATATTAACTAATTTACATTTTTTATGAAAAACAGAAACACAAAAAATTTTCATATAGGGAACAAAAGCTGATCTATCATATGTAGCTAATATGAGCTACATAATATTAATAGTAATAGTTTATAGTAATAGTTTACTTTCAAGACGTATAGAGGTATTAGCAGGATATGTCATTATATTTATATGCTAAGAAAGATGCTTTCTTACTGGACATACAAAAAAGTGTTATATTGCATAAATGGATATTATAGTAGATTATGCAAAAATATTGCTGAACATTTTTATAGACCTAAAGCTATACATGCCACAAAGCAAACAAGGTTTTACAAGTATTCAAACTCACAAATGCTCATTAACTGTGATAGTTGAAGGTGAAGAACACTACCTCTTGTTTGGTCTTCAGTTACATGATAACAGGATTAGGATTAGGAACAAAGATATTAAGCAGTTTTCAAGACTGATAATAATAAGAAATGTTTCTTGCTGTAACTGTTCAATCTTACAAGACTGAGCAAAATCTAAACCAGGGTTGAATTGTCAGACAGAGTCAATAATATGAAAAGAAACAGAGCTAGCCCTTTAGTCAAGCCAGCAACAATCTCTTGGGTTTGCCATATTTGTCCACAAGATAAACCAAACTATTCCCAAAAATACTGGACTGAATTCAACTCATTCCAAGGCGTGCAAATCCTATTTTGGATCAGGAATGAAAAGTGACACCAAAGCACTCCATATACCTCCTCTCTTGTACTTTCACCAGCTCTCACTTTCCTAAACCTGATGTTCAGGCTAAAGTTAGCACACCCAGGCCGGTATATAAGAGCCCCAGATGGGAACTACGAAGATGTCAGTCACATCAGCGTGGTGTATACTTCCCCTCTTTTGACCAACTGCAAAAACTTTGAGAGATGGTGAGTGTTTTTTACACATTCTTTTTTACACTTTACACAAAATTATTCATGAGATTAATTGATGAACACTCCTCATCATTTGATGAGAGATTAATCTGTGGCAGTCTAGATAGATAGATAGATAGATAGATTCTAACTTGCTGTTTCACTCTTTGTGTATGTTTTTTTCCTCTAGGCACCCAAGAAGGCCAAGAGGAGGCAGCAGGCAGAGGGCGGCAGCTCTAATGTCTTCTCCATGTTTGAGCAGAGCCAGATCCAGGAATACAAGGAGGTAAATTTCTGCTAAACCTAATTTTAGTCCAATACATTAACATTTATTTTGCATAAACTGTTATCCAAAGCAACATGTATAAGAAAAAACTAAGAGGATAGTTTTAACATAAGTCAAATCAATAGTCATTAATGACACTCTCCCATGCTGACCTGTTTGAAAACCTTGAACATTAGTAATTCATAAAGTGGTCGATTTTAGAACTATTCAACCACTGGAAGAAAGTACTCATTAAGTGTAGTATTGGTTTTATGTTCAATAACCAACGGAATGAGAGTTAACTATACAACTTACAGTTATATAGCTATTGTAAGTAGTAAGGAGGGGTGGTAAACGATTAGTAGGGGCTGGCAAATGTAACCAATCCCCCCTCTTTAAATATCCCCAAAGTCTTGTTGTACATTCTGTGACCTTTTAACAGCTTAGAAAGACAAGTGGGCAGCAGCTGCCAAGATACTTGGTCTCAGATGTCATCTCAAGTTTCAGAGATGTTCGGCAGAAAAACATCAAGACCTGATGCCAGAAGGGAAACATTTCATAACTACAATATCACAATATCTTGTGTGAAGACAACTTGTGTATCTTTTGGGACCTATGGAGCAATTAGTAGTTAATTAACTTGTACTAAGTCTTACCCTCTCTAAAACAAACAGGCTTTCACAATCATCGACCAGAACAGGGATGGTATTATCAGCAAGGATGATCTGAGAGATGTGCTGGCCTCCATGGGTCAGCTAAATGTGAAAAACGAGGAGCTGGAAGCCATGGTCAAAGAGGCTAGTGGCCCCATCAACTTCACTGTCTTCCTCACCATGTTTGGTGAGAAGCTGAAGGGTGAGTCCAAATCTTTTCTGACTTTGTTTATTCCTGCAATCACACATAATTTCTGTTGCTAATACTTTTGGTTTGGGGTTAAGTATTAAACTTTGTAAACTTTACATGAGCACACAACTCTAACTTGCTAGGACATTAACATGCATTTGGAAGACACTTTTATTGAAAGTGACTTACAGTGCTTTCAAGATAAAGATTTCATCAGTTCATGCATTCCTTAGGAATCAAACCCATGACCTTGGTGTTGCTAGCCCCATGCTCTACTGTTTGATCTACAGGCTAATGACAAAAAGTACAAAGCAGCACTTTTAGATTTACACTGACTGTGGTACAATAAATGAGAAACCATAGAGTCATATCTAGAGACCAGAATATCATAAATACTTGTAGGTTGGCACCTTTGACTCGGGTCAGTAAGAAACCACCCATCTCACTGGCAATGCCCTGGAAACCATCAAATATCTTAGATTCATGGCAGAAAGATTTTCTTAGACAAAAATCATTTACATTTTCTTCAGAAAATGTTGAAATATAGTTTTATATTTATATTGTATTGTAGTGTAATTGAAGTGTTGACATCTCACATCAAGCATTCACATCAAGTAGTCACAAAATGTATTCATCAAACTCATTTAGGTGCCGATCCTGAGGATGTTATCTTGAGTGCTTTCAAAGTCCTGGACCCTGAGGCTACAGGCACCATCAAGAAGGAATTGTAAGTATCCTGACCTATTGTTGTTCACACTATAGAATGAATAAACAACTATGGTGAAAGGCCATTTTCAAGAATGTAACATTGTAACATGTAACATTTTATTTTATTTTTCAGCCTTGAGGAACTCCTGACCACCCAGTGCGACAGGTTTACCGCTGAGGAGGTTAGTTGTAGTTGGATTATTTTAATTAGTGGTGTTTGCTCATTCAGGAATTACGATTACATTTTCTCATACTTTAAGCTTCATATGCAAGTATCCCACACTATGGCCTGGTTTCACAGACAGGGCTTAGACTCAGCCAGGATTAGGCCATAGTACAATTAGGACATTTAAGTAATTTTTATAAACATGCCTTATAAACATGCCTTAAAAAAACATTACTGGTGTGCATCTTGAGGCAAAACAAGGGCACTGACATATTTGAAGATCAATCAGTGCAAGTTTTTTTCAGTTGAAACAGCTCAGACTTACATTTTTGTCTGGGACCAGGCTTAAGCTTTGTCTATGAAACCGGGGCTATAAGTGCCATGAATCAAAATCAAAATTCAAATTCTGTGGTTTGTTGAGAAGTGTGTAATTACTTTTTGCCTGACAAGTGATAAATGTGAAAAATATCCCTTGGACATACATTTACACTATTGCCCAGCTCCAAACTGATAGATGTGGTATATTTTTAAAGATTATAATATGATTTTTATGAATCTGAATATTTTTATAATCTCAAAACCTTACATTTATTTATATTTAGCAACTGTATGTACAGTTTTTTTTTTTACCTTGAGATATCAGTTTCCAAATCATTTTGATGGTACACTGATTTCTAATAAGGCAAATGGCTTCGGTTTCATTCCTGCGTTCCCCCAAATGCCTGTTCTGGGAGTATATTTGGTGAGCAGGTACGAAATTCCACAAAAAGGGCATGATACAGCAGCAACAAATGTTTGTGTACAGCTACCCACTGTAATAATGTCAGTGATATAATTACAACAGTGAATTCCACTTTAAAGTTGCAAAACTTCACAAAACTGCATACAGATGCTTAAGATATTACTTGCTATATTGGTATAAATTTGCTTTGAAACAGTGTGTATTGTGAAAAGCGCTATACATTGAAGGAGTGAACTGAGCCATATATGGAGACGTACAGGTTTATTTATTTTTGTTTAAATCAAAGCATTAAACCAATTAATGACCAGTTGTTTCGTATCTTCTGATTGTTTTCTTCTAGATGAAAAATCTTTGGGCTGCATTTCCTCCAGATGTGGCTGGCAACATAGACTACAAGAACATCTGCTACGTCATCACACATGGAGAGGAGAAAGAGGAAGAATAATCTCAGTCCATCAACCATCTCTCTACCTCCTCTCATTACCACAACATCTTGTTACATTTTCAGGCTCCCCATGGTCTATATGTCCTCTCAAAGAAAGACATGTCTAAACTGGAGGTCTGTTAGAATTTGGGCTGTCTGAATGTGTCATATGGAGCTAATGTGATTATTTTCAATAAAATAATCTAAAATCATGAAATCACACTCTCTCCGTTCTGTCTGCCAGTGTTTCCCTTTATAAATGTATAAGCAGAGGAGATATTTAAAGAGATGGTGCATCTCTGTAACAGAGTGCCACCCTCTCTCTCAGTGTCTCCTGTTTCTTTTCACAGAGACAGAAATATTAAGGAAAGACATTGAGCACTAAGAAAAGACACAGGAAGACAAAGTGAGGATGAGGAAAATAAACAAAAGAAAACATCTTTGTTTTTACTTTTTCTCACTTGTTTACTCCTCCATTCCAAAGTCCTCTTTTCTTGCCTTTTCCTTTCCTTTCTCTTGATTCAACTCTTTGTCCTCAAAACCACCTGTAACTCAAAGATCACACAAATTAAAGCACCTAAATCTTTCGTACTCCTTTTGTCTGTTCTTGTCAAGTTCCTGCCTCTGCAAGTGAAGCAATAATAAATCTGTTAACATTGATGAAATGAATCTTTTACAATAAATTCAATTCAATTCAAGTTTATTTGTATAGCACTTTTCACGATACAAATCGTTGCAAAGCAACTTTACAGAAAATTAAGTTTCTACAATATATTTAGTAGTAGCTTATTAGTGGTGACTGTCAGTTAAGGTATATATGGCAGAAATGTACGGAAAAACCTATTAAAGACGTAATCAAACAGACGAACACTATTAACAGCAATTATTATATGATGCAATCAAACTTATAGCAAAATTTGGTAGTTCTGTATGTTGTTTCAGGGTTGGCATCATCTGAGGTCCTCTGAGGAGTTGGCATCATCTCTTCTCAGGTGTTCTGGATCCAGACTGAAGCTTGTGTAAATCCTAGTTACCGCAAAAACAGAGAAACAAATAGAGACATAATTAGCATAGCTGCTGTTCCAACCAATCAAAATTGATTTGTTTAACCCAAGCTAAAGAATAATAATGTGTATTTGATCAAGAGGTCATAAACTGTATTTTATTTTATTTTATTTTATTTGATAATGGTGTTTACGGCCACAACCATAACACAAAAGAGGAATAACACAAAAAGGCTTGATTCAATAAGGGGAAAATTTATTACAAGATAAGCATAAGCATAATAAAGATGATTAGTGGGGAAACAGAACAAAGCAAAACTAAAGTGAGCGCAACCGAACTGCCATAGCAGTCTCCCCCACACCCAGGTATGGCGACGAGACGTGATGTATCCAAACTCTCAGGCAATCCACAGGTGTATGAAATCGGCTCATACACCTGTGGACTGCCTCGAGAGTTTGGATATATCATGTCTCGTCGCCATACTAATGAAACGCAAGACACTCAAATGCAGGATGAAATGGGCATTTATTAACTCTTAAGCTCTGCGGCATATTTTGGATTTTTTTACAGCCTTTGGCATACCTGGATTTAAAAGAGCACCCTACTCATATACATTGGAGTAAATTGATAAAATTGGTCTCATTTCATAGAAAACATCCAAAATTTTAACACACAGGTGGAATAATTAATATTTTTTTATTGTATTTTTTCATTATTTTATGATAAACACAAATAAAAAATCTAATTTAGATTTTTTTTTTTTATTAGGTTTTTATTTTAAAGTCTGTTATTTAAGATCTGTTTGGTCGATATCTCTGCAGAAAGTTTCTTTTGATTCCACTAGGTCGCAGGAAACAAGGAAAAAAAATTTTCTCTGTATCATTTATATTAAAAAAGTTATGGATATTTAATTGAAGAGAGGCAATATGTCCACTAGGGGTCTCTATTCTGCGAGATCAGGCACACCTGAATTTGAAAGAGTTCCAAACCCACATACATTGGGCTAGATGGATAAAAATTGTATAATTTTACACAAAACACCTTAAATTTTAACACATGGGTGGAATAATTCAGAATTATTATTGCATTTGTTCACAATCCAAAGTATCCCAACTCAGCATCGAGCTAGCTGCTAGCACTAGGGGGAGGTGCCCATTTCGCTCTCAGTGCGCCCTCCTCCCTCGTGTTTGGAAATATTTCTTTTTATATTTACTCTGTAATTTGTTAGATCAAATAAATAATATAATCACATTTTGGGGAATGAGAGCTTTCATTTGATATATGACTCATCAATATTTGGTAAGTTTGAGCGATATGAATATGAATATTATTAGGTCATCTTCACGAGAGGAGGCTTGTTTGTGGGGGGGGGGAACAAACGCAAAAGTGATGGGATGGACAGGAAAGCTGAGGTTCTAAGCTTTCAAATGATACCATATATGTGTAGTTCACTGTTACTTTGAACCCACCGGTGGTTCCACGGGGGGAGTTAAGAAGTTAATGGAAAAAAAAAAAAAAACTAACAAAAACTACCCCGAGAGGGACAAACAGGCAGGCAGGCAGGCCAGGACAGGGCACAGCACAGCAAGGCAAGGCAAGATAAACACACCACACACAACAAATCCTAACTGACATAAAAACACCGAACAAGCACAGGACTGCAGACACAAGGAGAATAAATAGGGAGACAAACGAGGAGGGAAACAAGGGAGACACAGATGGAGTAACTAAAACAATAATGAGAGAACAAGAAGAGCGGGGTCAGACAATAGACAGGAGAGCACATGGCACCAACAACAAACAAGCCATTTGCTCAAGAAAACACACAGTGACATCTGGTGGCCAACTAGGGCATACCAGCAGAACTGTGACAGAACACCCCCCTCCCCTTTAAGGAGCGAATTCCAGACGCTCCACATAAAAAACAGAAAACGAGACACAGATGGAGTAACTAAAACAATAATGAGAGAACAAGAAGAGCGGGGTCAGACAATAGACAGGAGAGCACATGGCACCAACAACAAACAAGCCATTTGCTCAAGAAAACACACAGTGACATCTGGTGGCCAACTAGGGCATACCAGCAGAACTGTGACAGAACACCCCCCTCCCCTTTAAGGAGCGAATTCCAGACGCTCCACATAAAAAACAGAAAACAAAAAGTCCAGGAGGGAGGTAGACCAAAGGCGGATCAGGGGGAGGGATGGTGGGCCAGGCCTGCGTGGCGGAACCTGTGGAGCTGAAGTCCTCCAGGGCGGAGCTGAAGTCCACCACAGCCGCTCAGAGAAGGCTGAAGACCTCCACGGCAGTGCAGAAGACCACCACAGCAGAGCAGGCATTACTGACGATCCCCATGGTGGAGCAGATGACCACCACAGCAAAGCAGATGGGAGAGAGGGCCACCATGGTGGATCAGGTGGAGCTGGAGACCACCACATTGGTGCAGGTGGGGCTGAAGATCACCACGGTGGTGCTGCAGACCACCACGGCAGTGCAGGCAGAGCTCCTGACCACCACGAGAGCTCCTGGACTAGAGCAGGCATTGGAGTGGGCTCTGAAGGCTCCTGGACTGGAGCAGGTTCTTGAGCGGATTCTGAGAGCTCCTGGGCTGGAGCAGACTCTGGAGTGGATTCTGAAGGCTCCTGGGAGGCCAGAGCAAACTTCGAAGTGGCCCATGCCCGCAAAACAGCCCTGAGGTGAAAGGCGAAGACAGCCTTCTTGACAATGGCAGCAGCAGTGAAATCAGGAGGCTCTGCAGCGTCCTCCATTGCCGAGACAAGGAGAGCGGGCTGCTCAACGACGGCCTTCGTGGCAGCAGCAAGGAGCTTGGGCGGCGCTGGGATGGCCTCCGGGCCATGTGGGACAGAGGAAGCCTTCCTCTTCCACCCATTCTCTGCCCTCATGTGGCTTGTTCGTTCTGTCAGGGAACTGGATAGAGATGAAGCGAGGACTCAAATGCAGGATGAAATGGGCATTTATTAATGGAAAAAACAAAATGAATAAAAACTAACTTGAGGGTGAAAAACAGGCAGGCAGGCAGGCCAGGACAGGGCACAGCAAGGCAAGGCAAGATAAACACCACACACACAACGAATCCCAACTGACATAAAAACAACGAACAAGCACAGGATTGCAGACACAAGGAGAATAAATAGGGAGACAAACGAGGAGGGTAACGAGGGAGACACAGGTGGAGTAACTAAAACAATAATGAGATAACAAGAAGGGCAGGGTCAGACAATAGACAGATGCCAACAATAGCACATGGCATCAACAACAAACAACAAGCCATGTGCTCAACAAAACAAACAGTGACAACTAGGCCACACCAGCAGAACCATGACAACTACATGAATATGTAACACCTTCACCCCCCAAAGAAGTGAAATGAACACCATTTTATGAACATACCTACGCCCCTAACCTATCCAGGATAGGGCATCAGCCACCACGTTGTCCTTACCACGGATGTGTCTAATGTCGAGAACATACGGCTGCAAATACAAACTCCAGCGCATAAGGCGCTGATTAGAGTTGCACATCGAACTCAAAAAGGTAAGAGGATTATGATCGCAATACACAAGAGCAAGACAGATAAACAAAATGCTGAATGGCGAAGACTAAAGCAAAACTTAATGTTCTCGAAAGTGCACTGACGCATCAGACCATAAAAATAGCATTTTTGGACTAAGCAAATCAGTCAGGGGAGATACCACTGTCGCAAAATTTTTACAGAAAGAATGATAGTAACCCACCATCTCTAAGAAACGGCGTAGTTCTTTTCGATTAGCTGGAGGTGGAAATTCACAAACAGACGTAAATTTAGCAGGGACTGGGCGAACTTGTCCCCTTCCAATCACCTTTCCTAAATAAACTAAGGTGGCTTTACCAAATTCACATTTGGCCAAGTTAACGGTAAGTTTTGCATCAGCCAATCACTGAAAAACAAAGCAAATTCATGTGCTCAGTCCACGAAGAACTATATGTGACGAGTGGGGGCGGGGCCGAGAGCCGTGGGAACGGAGCGAGGCCGGTGGAGTAATTGATAATGAGCGACACCTGCACCACTCACCGGTCTCGAGTCCCACGGAGGAACTCCGGAAGGATAAAAGGAGGAGTTACGACAGTGAAAGACGAGAGAGGACCAGGCCTGGACTTTATTTTGTGTTTTGTGTGCGGCAGTCGTCCGCGAGGGGCTGCCGCTTTACTTTCATTTTGTGTTTGTTTATTTTATTAAAGTCTTTAAATGTTCGCCGGTTCCCGCCTCCTTCTTCCCGTGACTACGAACGTTGTTACACTATACAAAACCAAATCATCTAAATAGGCCTCGCAACTAGGCACACTGGCCAAAACTATATTCACAAGCCGTTGAAAAGTACTGTGAGCGCTTTACATCCCGAAAGCCATTACCTTATAACTAAGGAATGCATCGGGAGTCACAAATGCTGAAATCTCTTTAGCACGTTCAGTCAGCGGTACCTGCCAGTACCCTTTTAATAAGTCAAGTTTTGAGATGTAAACGGCAGAACCCACGCGATCTACACAGACATCTATCCTTGACAATGGAT